AGTTCTGACCACCAGGTCTGAGGCAGTCTACTCGTCTTGTTATAGCTGACTGCAACACATTGTTTTCACCATACCTGTATCATCCCACTGACCAGTGGTTGCTAAGTTGCTTCACTCTAAACTGCTCTGAACTACTTGTTTTGGCAGGTGAATTTGCCAGTATTAAAAACATACTTGAACAGTAATTTTTCTGGAGTTCTATTCTGCAAAACTGTTGTATTAAAGCATTAAAACACTTGAAAAATGAGTCATATTACTTAAATCATCATTTCCATTCACGCTCTGTTTGAATAACTCACCTCATGCTCTGTATGTTTTCTATTCATATTGTGCAGACTCGCTATGCAGAATTCAGCGGCACTCTGGTGGAAACGGATTTTGTGGAGGTGCCATCTCAGATGCTGGAGAACTGGGTGTGGGAAAAAGAACCCCTCAGGAGGATGTCCCGCCATTACAAGGACCGCAGCCCCATCCCCGATGACCTGCTGAACAAACTCATCGCCTCCAGAGTGGCCAACACCGGTCTGCTTTCACCATCCACATTTACGCTTGCGCTGTAGGCGGTGTTACCAACATTCAGTCTGCTGCTTAACTGAACAATTTGGACTATTTTTTACAGAGGCATTAACAGTGAAAAGAGTTTTTAATCACAAGCTGCCCTTTTTTCGCACTGACAGTGACAATATGTACTCACCATGTGGTGTAGATTTACCATGTTGACTTTTTGAGATTGTACATTTGCAGAATATAGATCAGTGTTTCCCAAACTGGACTTCAGGGCCCTCAGACAGTCCACATTTTTTGCAGCACATTGTAATGAAAGAAAAATGTAGAGCGTCTGAGGGCCCTGAGGACTGTGTAGGGAACTGCTGATGTAGACAGAAAGTTTGAGAGTATTTATAGAAACTAGTTGTAGTAGATTATTAATGGGAGATTTTTTATGGACAGCCAAATGTTTTATGCATTTTTCTGTAGGGAGGGACTAAGTGTGATCTGAACACATTTTTGAAATAAATGACACCGAGCCATCCATAAAGACAGAAACTCTGGAGAGTTTCACTAAACAGCCAGATAGGTTTTGTCAATTCTTACATCTATCCAGTATAACAAAAGCAATTAGATAGATAGATAGATAGATAGATAGATAGATAGATATTATAAAATATACTAAACCAACTATAAAATATAATATGCAGCACGAAAATAATGAAGTAAAATCGCATAACTATTATGCAGGTGACAATGCAGTGGTGCACGCCACGTCCAGTGAATGAAACAAATGACTATATACTGTAAATGATAACATATGTTAATAGTTGTATATGAATGCGTGTATAAACAAGTGTCATTGCAGTATGCAATATTTATGGATGTATAAACAAAGTGGCAGTGCAAGATGCAATATGTATATATGTATGTACATATGTAATTGTTGGGTTTCTTTATCTTCTTCTGGGACATTCAAGGACATGAACATGACTTATGACATTTTTATACTTGTTTTCTCTACAAACTAAACTTGGCTGGATTTAATGGTCCTCCATTTGTTGATTTATTGTAAATGCTGAAGATATTTTGCTGTATTTTTCCAGGTCTGATGAACCTCAGGCAGATTGTTCTCAGTAAAGTGGACCAAGTGCTCCACACGAAGGCCTCTGCTGACACTGCGGCTGAGTTTGCCAAGCTCTGCAAGGAAATCCTAGGCATCCCGGCCACACCAGGTAATAAAATAGTAATAACCAAGTAGTGGCTGTTTGGCCACCTAGCTGATAGTGTTGGCAGGGTGTAACCTCTAATATGGGACAAATGAAAGGCTTAGTATGACAAACGAAGGAGCTGAATATTAATGTTTGTTATTTTTGTCAATTGGCAATAAAAGATATTTTACAGACTGTAATCATGCATCAGAAAATCACTATGAGCTAAGGACTGCAGACAGACTCTCTATGGATAAAAGCCTAATCTGTATTGAAGTAATCATTAAACACTGCCATGGAAATATTTGAAATAAACAATAATAAAAAACAGTATAAATACTCACAAGTGGCTGCTGAGTGGCAGAACTCTCTAAGCTTTTGTTCCATCACTCTGTAGACTGTTATATGCCCTCAAATATGCTCTGAGATTGAAGGCATTCTACAAAGCTGATTACATTTAAAATTGCATCCACTGTACGTTGTGATAAGTAATCTGATGAAATAATAAGTCAAAGGATATCAGACTATAGACTGTGGAGTGTCATATCCTCACCCTTGACTCATAGTGTGACACAAGCTTATTATAGAGCAGTGTTAAGTGTAAATGACTCAGCCTTTGCTTTTTTCTCCACAGGGACAAACATGACAGCTAGTTTTAGTCATCTGGCCGGAGGATATGATGGTCAGTACTACAGCTACCTTTGGAGTGAAGTCTACTCTATGGACATCTTCTTTAGCCGCTTCAAGAAGGAAGGAATCATGAACCCGAAGGTGTTTCTCTAGTTTTGCTAAGCTGCTACTGGGGTTTTTTGTCTGAGAGGGAATTCTCATCTATACTAGAACATAATATAGTGCTGAAAATATGGTATTCTGACAGGCCCTGCTAATCCAGTCTGCAGTAAGCACTCACTTGATTCCCCCCACTGAGGCATAGCTTAGTGGGAACAAACTGACAGTAACCTTCATATTGCAGGAGCTTAAAGGGGAATTCCACCTATTTTCCAAAATTCCTACATAATTAAATCATTCAGATGTATATATCTTTATGCAAAGTGGTTTGATGTGAAATGTTCCATTCTATACAAACTTGCAGTGTCAGAATTGTTATAGTGGTGGTGATAGACGTCCAAAGCCTGTAATGCCGCTAAAAGCTCCCCAACAGAAAGGTATTACAAATGCTTACAAATATGCTGCCTGATGCCTGAGACACTGTTATATGATAGTTTTGAGATAAAATTTTGGCCTCAAACCTATTATTTTAAATCTGGAGAGGCAGAGGCATTTAACACAATTGTACCATTGTTAACATTACATAAAACATATAATTTCAAAAGGTGTGTAGGTTTACCAGTTATTTTGAATACTAAAAAAATGACCATATTGTGTCAGGTGCGTTGTGACCCCCGGTTCCTATCACCACCACAGTAAGTAAATCTAAGTCAGTAAGTTTCTCTACAATGATCCATTTCACATCAAAGTCTGAATGACTTTACATCTCAACCACTGTATTATGCAGTATGTTTTGAAATCAGTGGATTTCTTCCTTAGGCCAGATCAGAAGGCACATATGTTTCTGCACCAAGTACAGGAATGTTGTATAAGATCTGTTTACCTTTGCCTGCAGGTGGGTAAGGAGTACAGAAGGGTGATCCTGGAGGCTGGGGGCTCAATGGATGGGATGGAGATGCTGAAAACGTTTTTGGGCCGTGAGCCACGCCAGGATGCTTTCTTTCGGTCTAAAGGACTGGATCGCATTGAAAATGGATACAATTATTGACTTGATCTGTATTACTGTATTAATAAGAATGTGTTGTGTGTTATTGCACTCTGTGAGTCAAAATACCACAGTCTGTTGCATATTCTTCCAAGGACTTTCATTTAAAAGTCATGTTTATGCACTTTGGTGTATATCCAGATCAACATCCTGATCCCTGTTCTATTAGTAAAAAATATAAAGATTTTTACATCATATTTATTGTATCATTCATTAGAGATGAAGCTATAGTTTTAATTGTGTGTTAATCGATTTCTTGCTAGTGAAGACACAAGAAAGGCATCTTGAGCTGAGGAGTGTAGATTGCAAACCGTATTGCACTGGAAATGCTTCATATAAAATGTTAATTGTACCTTTAAAAAAGAATATAGGTGAGACAGGTTAACGAAAAAACAAGCACTAAGGTTATTTGCTAGGTGGGTTATGAAATTATATCTAAAAGTTTCCTTATAATGCAAGCTCCCTACAGACTACAGAGACACTCAAAATATACACTCATGTTCCAATGGCTTGTTTTTTGCAATGGACATTTCAGATGTCCAAAAAAATGTACCTTATTTATTGTGATATTATATGTTTGCCACCACTAGCTTATGTTGGTGTAGCTGCTCTATCTATGTATAAAAGAGTGAGGCAGTCTCTGTAAAAAAGGCAAGTTACTGCTTTGAAAATATATTTTGGAGTAAACATGCAACGTCAGGGTCCTCCTTGATAGTATTGTCTTGTTTGGCCACTAGATGGAGACAAAACCCTAAAATCCATCAGAGCATGTGTTACTTGTAAACCAGGGTTGTTTTCAGTTGAACTATAACAATACCGCCACATCAGAGGAGGAAAAGCGTTGGTGGTCTGCTGGTTCATGGCTTCACCTGCAAGACCCAGTCTTGACTGAGAAGCACCATTTTTTTTTCATAGTAACCGTTAACATGCCTCTAGAAATCTGCCCCCCGCCCCCGTGTACCCTTTACTCCTGTGCCAGCTTAGATAAGCAGAGCTGTTCAGTGATTTTGTTCTGCATTTAGAAAATCTAGCCTGTTGATTGATGCTCAATCTCTGGGCAAAGCGACAAAAGAAGGTTAGCTTCTCATTCGAATTTCCCGTTCCATCTTAAATGCAGCGTTTAAGGCGGAACGTTAAATTTTAGGCTCCAGGATGTAACTGCTATAGCATTTAAGGTGGAATGGGAAATTCGAATAAAGAGCTGGCAGAGAGGAGCCCAACTGCGCCAATTAAGGTGGAACGGGAAAGTCAGGCGCCAGAATGGAACTGCTGCAACACTTAAGGTGGAACGGGAAAAGCAGCCTTGTATAAAAATGAGGCAATTCAGCCGTGCCTCGGAGAAATTAGGTCAACCAAACGTGTGATGGAAGTGTAGGACCCTCCTGCTGGCTCTTATTGGTGTGAATAGCATATGCTAGGACTTTCATTGGCTTAAACAGCACGTCTATCAGGCAGGCCAATCAGACCCCATCAGGCCTTCCCCCTCTTTAGTTTTGCACCTCTGCTGTGGTGTCCCAATGCTGAAGTGCCTGCTTCTGGCTATTGAGTTGCTCTCCGCTGCGTTCGCTCGTGTACTGACTGCTCGCGCTGATCGCTGTGTGAGTGAACTAACGTTAAGTCGCTGCGTTCAGTCCGTGCGGCTGCAGCACACTTCTCCTTCACCGCTCTACGTGTTTTTCACCCTTTTTAAAAGGAAGCGAACGAGAGGATGTGAGTCTTAAATACATCTGGGTGCGGCGCTCTATTACAAGTGGTGGAAGAAGAAGAAAAAGAAGAAGAAAGGGATTTGGGCTTTGCTGGTGCTACTGGTGGAGGTTTTTGCCGCTGTAACGTTACTTCACCGCTCAGCTTGTTGTGGTTGTGCTTGCGGACGTCTGTCTGGATCTTTTTGGAGCTGTTTTTTTCCGTCTAAACTAACTACTCTCCGTTTTGTCCAGCCTCACTTCACGCTTCTGGAAGCCGAGGACACGTCGGAGACTCTTTTTTGTGTCTGCGTTTGGGAAGAAAGACAACTTAAGCAACTTTATTTTCGTCTTTTTATTGAGAGGAAGCTAACGTAAACGTTAGTGGAATAAGCTAACGTGCTTTAGCCTGCCCGCTAGCTCCAGCCCAGCTCCCGTGGAAAAGCAAAGCAAAGCAAAGCAACAGCAGCAGCAGCCAGTGATGGTTTTGTGTGGCCGGCTCACATGGATTTAAACGATTTAAACTCTTCTGTTTTCTCATAAATGAAATTGGAAACCTGTTCGAAAAGGTAAGGGCTCGATATAGTTCATTAATTCAGCGTTTCGGTTTGTCCTTCAGAACCATACATCTGGCTTTCTGCTTACGAAGCTGATGTCTGCTTCCTATTCGCCAGCTTCTCGTTCGAATTTTCACGTTCCACCTTAAATGGTGCAGCAGATACAGTCTGGCGCTTCGAGCTTGAGCGTGAGAATGTGTCTGCTGCGCCGTTTAAGGTGGAACGGGAGAATTTGAACCAGAAGCTGGCGAATAGGAAGCGAACTTGAGGCTCGTTTTCTGCTTCCTTGTTAGCCGTGCTATAAAAATGTACGTTAAGTCCTGTTTGTGTTTTTTTTCCCCACCATATTGCGGCCAGTCTGTTTTTGTCCAGTGTTTCTATCATGTGCTGAGGAGGAAAATGAAGTATAAATAGCACTGTTGGCCTGATACAGGCAGGGCTTTGTGTCCGAACAGGTGAAATAACGTTAAATATAATGGTGTTTATACAGACACGCCGTTTACTGCTATCGTCCATTGGTTTTGTAGGTACATCAGAAAGAGTTATTTTCATTTGATTTTTCTGAACGTGTTTGCACACCCTTCTTGGTGTTGATTGCTTGCTGTGTGTTCATTACTGATTAACATCAATGACGTGCAGATTAACCACTGGAAACCTTTTTTAGTGTATCTTCCATGTACATTCAATATTCTGCTCCGGATTCAGGAATTCGAATCTTTTCTCTTCTATTGCGGTGCGTTTCGTTTCTCTAATTACAGAGATATTTTGTATAGAATGCTATTAAATTCAGTTCTGTTTTTGAGTTTTGATATATGCTATTACATTGACTTCTGTTATTATATTATAAGGTGCTCTCAAGTTCAAATCCATTTTGTTATATTGAGTTCCATTCAGGTCTGTCCAAATCTGTTCTGTTCTGTTGTTCAGTTCTGTTTTCTGGCATTTTAAAATAAATTTGAGAAGACTCCAAAACATAAAAGAATACAAATAAACACAATCATATTTGAATAAATTATGTTGAGTTAATTAGATAACTATATATTCTTATTTTCAAATTCAGTTCTCTTTGAGGTGTCCTCATTTGATTTCACCGTTAAGTCTTCACTTCCTATTCAGAGCAGCTTTCTTTTTCGACTCTCGGCTCATCTATACCGAGAGATCATGTTCATTTCCCCACTGTGCTTTTGGATTTCCCCCTGCACTGACTAATAAGATTAGCATCTCTGTCACAGCGTGAGCTTTGATCGTATAGCCGAGAGATGCTGGCTCACTCTGGACACGGACGGCATGTCTGCGAGCTGTGGGCCAGTGGACTGGCTCCCTAATCAGACCCCCACTGGAACAAACAAATGGAAGAATAAAATTGCAACAGTAGGACACCTGACAGTGATGAAGACACTGGCAGTGGTAGAAACTTTATATTTGAAACATAGCATTATTGGTTGTTGGTAATAGGGACAGCCGGGTAAGTTGATTTGTGACAATTGGCTGTAAGGATTGGTTTCAGCGGGTGATGAATTGGGATAATGGGATAAGGCAGGTTCAGGGGGATTATTGCCACTTGGTACGCTCATCCTCACTATGGCTAATCCTACTTTCTGCATCCACCGTCCAGACAGAGGGACAAATCATGAGTAACCAGCGACCTTTCTGCCATGTAAAATCAGTAAGGTGTCCCAGGCTGGTCTTTTTGTGTCTGTAAAATGGCTCTTTAAAGGCACTGGGTGGGCAAAAGTCATTCCTGCATGGCTCACCTGCAGCCTGGCTCTCTAACAGGCTGGATTTTCACAATATCCCCTACTGTTTGCCTGTTTTGCTTCTCGGTGTTGGTTGCATTCTCGTAAAGAGATTGGCGCGTCATCCTGTTACAGCCCAGCATTGCGGCGCAGATTGAGCAGCCTGAGCACTGAAACCATTTACTCTTTCGTGATAAGAATGTTAGCCTGTAGGCATTTAACAAAACATCTTTGTGTTGTCTATCATGTTGCAGGACTGTATACCGCATTGCCTTTGTTTTTGTGTTTGCATTATGCTGCTAAACGTCATAGCCACGTGCTAGAGATGACCTTGCTGAATGAAACAGTGCTGTCTAGTAAGGGTATGACAATTTGATTTTAAAGTGGTGTAAAACTGTGTTCTCTCATTTGCTCTGAACCACTAATAATAACCAAAACTGAGCATTTAAGTGCATCCTCTCTGTTTTTGTATTGTTTATAGCTCTGCTGCTCTGCTCTCTATGCTATCATAGACGTTAACCTGTTGCTAGTTTGCAGTCTTTTGTTTTGAAGTAAAATTTATATTTTTATGAGACCAACCAATCTGTGTTGTATAAATTTAGCGTTCTTGTACAATTAAGACATGTTTAGCACATGAAATATAGAACATCATATTGTTACACCCCTTCCAGCCTCAGCTGTATGTAAATGGAGTACCTTATATCTACTGCATGATAAGTGGGCCAAACTATCAGGATTTCCATTCTGATTGTTGATCTACACATCTGTGTGAATACACTTCCCTGCAACTGGTTTTATCGGTCCAACAGAAAAAAACTTTTGAAAGCAGTTGCTTCTTCAGCTCTGAATGGTATTTTATTTTGGTAGATGTACATGATGCTGTGACATGAATAGAGCTGCAGTTGTGCTGCCGTTTTTATCTCAGCATGGCTTTCTTTGTAGAGAGCTGTGGGTCGTTTTCACAGCATGAGGTTCTCATCTGTTCCACTTTACTCCACATTGCTTGCTAGCACCTCAATGCAGAGTCAAACCAGTCACACGCAGCATCCTGGTTACAGAGTTGTGGGAGAAAAATATTTGATTTGATTAATGAGTAGGCCTGCAGGAAGAGGTTAAGCAAGCCTTGCTGACGCACACAGATTTGTTCCCTGTGCATGTGTTTTTGTTGTACATTACACAGAAACAACAATCCTTTGTTGGTTATTTTTCATGTCTGTCAAATGGCTCGTCCTCGTCTCTTCCATGTGTAAGGTATGAAACGCACCAGACTCTAAAACTACAGGTTTGCTTTTTGTCTCGTGTTTTAATCCAGACATACTCTATAACCGTTTTATGTGTATTCATTGAATTATTTATTTGTGATTAATCAGGAAAGAACAAATGTTCTGCTCTTCATTGAGAATACAAATAAATAATGAATACTGTATGTATGTGGGGTTATTGTGTCAGTAAGAAATGGACTCTGCTTTCCCCTGATTGATCAGTGTCTATTACCCTAATGTTTATTGGCAACTGGAAAAGTTCTAATGATTAAGGAGACTCATGTACGCCACAGGCTCTTAATCAGTACCATCAATTCCACATACAATGATGTGATTGTTACTATAGTAGGAGTGTAATACCTCAGCCTACTGACTGTTCTCATTATAGCACGGTATAGACATATGGCAAGATATGTTCTGTCTGATATGATCCATAATGCACAGACTTAATGGTTTTTAATTCTCAGAGTGCTTTTCCGTCTTACGAAGAAGTGACCTGATGCTGTAAACAGGCCTACGCTGTCAAAATGCAGTGTCATTTTGAGCCAGAGCTGTGGTCATCTGTTTTGTAAATGTGCATGTCCTTCATCAGTGTTGAGTATCGACCGATACCATACCAATCTAATCTTTGTTTTCGCAGGTAATACAGATGATGATGATGATGATGATGATACATAGATAGATATATAGATAGATAGATAGATAGATAGATAGATAGATAGATAGATAGATAACACAGTAAGATATACTAGGCTGTCAGTTAATGCTTCAGTAAAATCATTTCATTTTTTTGTATATGTGTAATGTGGCGTTCTGGACCTACATTTTGTTTTTGTCTTTTTTTGTTTGTTTGTTGTTTGTTTTTGTTGGCGTATGCTTAGATTTGACCTACCTGATGATGTGGCTTACATTTATTTTAATATATTGCAGTGAAAATGCATCATTTTTGATACACGCTTAGTGGCATGCACTCTGAAATGGTTTGTTTTTTTACTACTACTTACATAAAGCATCCATCTTGTAGTGTTGTGAATGCACTTTGATTTTGTTTTGCTCGAATGTCTGCAGTAGCCAGCTTCATCCTCTCTGTTTTGAACTAGGAATATAGGAATTGTGGGCCAATTTTGATATGTTATTTTTCATGTGCATGTCTGCCCATAACATATAAACTAGCATTATTTTCATCAGGATTAGTTGTTGGTGTAGTGTAGCGGCTAACACCTCTTCCTTCTGCGCTGTAGACTGGGGTTCAATCCCCCGCCTGGCGAGCAGTACTTGGGCAAGACTCCTAACGCTACCTTCGCTGACCTGTGTAAAATGATCAAATTGTAGGTCACTCTGGATGAGAGTGTCTGCCGTAAATGTAAATGGATTATCATTATTTAGGAATATAACGTTAATTTGCAGAAGTGCCCAAATGCAGTGAAATGAATCAAATGCGTGTGTATATTTTAGACCAGCAGCCAAGCATCGCCTGATCATTCTCCTCTTCCAGTATGTAAGAAAAACTCCCTCCATTACTTTTCTTGGTGGGAGAAATGACAAGTATTAAGAAACCATGTGCAGGAGTTCGTTGCTCTTTTTTCCCCTTTACTTCGTAAAACTCTGAAAGTAAAAGCAGTAGTGCCAGCACACACTCTTCCGGGTACTATTGCTTATTGTGATTTGTCTGGTGTCTCGTTGTGGTGCTGTATGTGGCAGAAGCTAGAGTGTGTGACTAACACTGACATGAGGTTTATCTTCATTCTGCCTCCTGAGTATCTGTTGCATCTATACAATTACAGTTGGTCAGATTACTCATTACTTGATTAAGAAATGTTTTTTTTTTCTTTTCCCCGTGTTGCATTAAAGGGGAAATTGTAAAGATTATTAAAAAATCAAGATCGAAACAAAGCCGCCCAGAGTAGTTTAGTGTGAAATGCTCCATTCTAGAGAAACTTAAGAGTCAGAATTGTTTATAGTGGTGGTGATGGGAACCAGACATCTGAAGAGTTTAAAAGATCCCTCAAAGAAAGTTATTACAGGAAATGGTTATGAAGTCACTGCCTGATGTCTGAGACATTGTGGAGGGGTACATGCAGGGTGTAATAAGGCAAAATAGTCCCCAATTATTTAGTTTTTTTTTAAATCACTATTTCAACATCATATTTGCATATGAAAACTTATATAGGTTCACTGGTAATTTAATATAGTGCATAAAGTGGCTATGTTGATGTTTTGTTTCTTTACAATTAATCATTTCACATCAAACCACTCGGACTGGCTTTGTTTACGTTTCTGTGATGGATTTATTTAGAAATTTTAAAAAATCTGTGGGTTTCCTCTACAAGATTTAAGACCTTTAAAGTCTCACTAAGGTTCTCAGTAAGGTATAACTTCTTTTTTCATTCCTTTCAATTGAGAAGGCACCACATTTGTGTAAAATGTTGGTGTTGGCTGTATGTAAATGTGATGAAGGCCTTCCTTTAGAGGCTATGATTAGCCTACCACCTGTGTGTCATGTTTCACAGTTCTTTTCAGTTTTCTCTCAGGAAATGTATTCTTGTGATGTGGGTGTGCTGAAAATTCATAATAACTGGTTTGAAATTTAACTCCAAGCGCTCTCATGGTAGTTCATGTTGAATAAATAAAACGCTCACTCTGCAAATCTACGTCTTGCGCTTTGCGAATCTAGTTTGTGTTGAGCGCTGTGTAGCGAATGTAGTGAGAGGAGGGAGGAGACGAGTGGAGTCGACAAGCGTGAATTTGGACAGAGCGTTTAGCGAATGCCCTGAGATGTGCTCATCGATAAAATGAAGGATATGGCTGGAGGTGCTGCAGGCTGTCTGGTTTATAGCTCTCTAATGTAAGTCTCACTTTCATCTTCATTTTCAATTTTCATCTCTTTCGTCTCATCGTCTCTCTTGCCTTTCAAGCACCTTTTTCAGAAAGAGAAAAACTATTGGTAAGAGGACTGTTTGAATGAAAGCTATCAAGACATTAGGGGGTGTACATTCAGACCAATTTACGTTTAAAAGGCCCACATCAGAGAATTGTAGATGTTCCCTTTTTTTCTTAAAAAAAAAAAAACTGGAGAATTATGACTTCTTTTGGTACATAAATGTACACAAAATGTCAGCAGACCTCAAGGAGAAAAATAAAGTACAAGAAAAATGTAGCATATGAGTCCTTTAAATCTTCAGTACTTAATTTACAACAGTAACAAAATTCATTATGATTAGCTGTAGTAAATCATGCATTTAACTTAATAGGTTAATTATTTGACCTTGCTGCTTATATTTGTTTTATTCCACAAATAATCAGTTTTCTATTTATTAACTGTTTTAATAATATGATTCTTTTCTGTCCGTTACTGTAATGGATTACAGTTGGGCTACCGTTTTATGGTAGTTTAAATATGTAATACCATTACTATTTTGTCTGTCACTCACTAGACCTATTCTGGATGTTCTCTCCTGTACTGAACGATTGAGATTACAGGTCTAATCACATCAGATGTCAGAAAAGTAGGACTAACAATGGAAAACGGAGCACTGTATTTAAAGCTGTTCTCTCACTGTGCAGTGGAGATTTATGACATTTTCCATGTAACCTCGCTTCTGCTCCACAATAGACCTCCGGTAAGGAAATATTCCTCGGATTCATTACGCCCGGGCTGTGTGTGGTGTGTAAGAGCTGTGGAATGTTTCCATTAAAATTGAGAAGGGTACCTCATCACTAACTGTTTTTACTCTCCAACTACAAAGCTCCTTTCAGCTGTGATGTTTCTGCACTTTTTTTCCTGATGTAATGCTGCATCGTGTGAAAAATGCATTGTGCAATGAGGATTTCAGTGAGAGCTGCTGAAGTTTAATTATTTCTAAACTGGGTCACGTTTGAATATGCTCCGTTAATAGCGAATTAACGTGGTGTTACGATTCCAAAGCCAGTTTCAGGATTTCTGACTGGGAATCTTCTGTCAAATTATTGAACTCTGACATTAAGTGTATTGCTAAATGCTCCATACAGCCTGCTTTTAATTCTGCTCCAGCCTGCCATGTTTATAGAGTAATGTTTTGAGTTTGCTAGGTCTGCTTCTCTTCATAACTCTGTAAAGCTGAGCTGTGGAGGTCACATCAGTGCAGTCGTGGTCGTGTTCGTCTCCCTTTCCCTGAGAGCAGTGCCTACTGTAGGGCTGGTCAGTATGGTGATATTTTATCATTATTGTGATAAATTACTTTATTATGCGATTTTCTAAATGTATAATGGGTGTTGTCAGTACTTTTAGAACACTGAATAACTACAAAAAGACAGATTTAAACTATATATCAACTGTATTCCTGTGTCCCATGTTGCTTTGAGTTACCTGTGGACAGAACCTCTGGGGAGGCACAGACTGACAATGTGTAAAATGTTAACATCCTAATATGTCAAAATAAATGAAAATGTGAATTGTTATTATTGGGATGTTTGAATGTATGCCAGTGTTTGTAATCAATCTGTCAGAAAGCTGAGTCTGCGTGCTGCAGTTAGAGGATCTTATTTATGGCCTACATCGGTTACTTACACTTATAAAGTCATTTGCTTTCAGCTTTGTATATTTTGTTTACACGGTCAGGAACAGGCATAGAGCCCCGATTAGAACTGGACAATATGACCGTGACATTATGATGGGCAAAATATTGTTATCAAGTTAATTTATGTCTGGACAGTACGTGATATCGTGGATATGATCAGTACTGGTAGAACACTGACCAACTGCGTGTTTCATTATAAAGAGAGCAAAATTAGTCCTGTTTAACTGGATCTTGTGCAACACAGTACACTATTCAATCAAATTCATTGTGTTCATAGTTATAGATAGTATTTTTTTTTCAAATGTAGCGCAATTTTACCACCTTTTCTCAGCTTCAACTGATCAGGTGTCTGAAAAAATATATATTGACACGTGTCTGGTGTAAATTTTCCTGGAACTATCGCAATATTATATTTTTGCCATATCGCACACCTCTAACTTCAATGCCATTCCATAGCTCTAACTTTAATGTCATTACATAGCAGTGTTTTTATGTAGAAATCTGACAAATCACTTACATTTTTTTTAAACCTGACCTAAAACATATGAGCATATTGGGGATATCATCAGTATTTAAAGAACTCTGACTAAAGGCATTTGTTGTTGGTAGTCTCTGTGATTCATCCTGTCCAAATGGATTCAGTTCAGGTCAGTATGTGCGATGTTGAATAAAAAATCATTGTACTCATATTTTAGTACTTTTAAATGTGGCACCATTGATGCTTTTTTGTTTCGTTCCCCAATTTGTCAAACTCCAGAAAAGCTTAATGTTGTGATGTCATGCATCATAAAATGTCTTTAAGTGTTGTGATGTTATGTTTTGCCATGTCTTAAATATTGAAATGTGTATGGTGTAAGTATCTTCAAGTGTTGTGATATTATGCGTTGCCCACCCTCAGCTTGCTGTTCTGCCGCAGGCTGGTTTTTAGATAGCTTTGGAGAGATACATGTTTTAGATGTAAGTCCTCCAGCTGACGTGTTTTTGAAGTGTTGTTCTTCCCCGGTTGCTGTTCCCAAGTCATTCTTTCATTCCGTCATAGTCACAAGGCGGTGAGGATATAGCTGTGTGGACTTTGAGATTGATGTGGAATGTTTTCATAAGCTACTGACGTGAGTAACCTACTCAATGTTGTGCATCTGGCGCATGCCGGATCTTGACCTTGGCCCTGAACTTGGCCTTGTTTAACAGAAATATTTCAGCATCAGCCACTCCATAAATAGGCTTACAGTCTTTTTGTGTTCTGTGTGGGTTTTTGCTTGTGGGGACGGCAGCTGTCTGCCTGAACAGAGGAGAACCTGCTTTCTCTCTGCTGATCGTCAGCTCAGCACTGTCATTCTTGAACACTCCGACCCTTTCCCCCATCCCTCTGCCCTCCAGGCTGCACTTCAAAAGCAGATGACTGACATTTATCCCTCTTTAACACAGTGGCTATGGAGGAAATGGTTTTATCCTCCGATGACCTGTGTGGATTGGGTTTGCTTTATTGTGTGACAGTGTGTTGAAAGGCATTTCAGAGTAAACAGTGGGCTCACTGAAGGTGATTTTCCTTTCCTTTCCTTTTTTTGTAAGTCCATTATGTGCACTTTTCTACAATGTTAATTTCAATATGTGCCATTTGCTGTTTGCTTTACATTATATAGAACAGTTTAAATCCATAAGAATTTCACTGCGAATAGTACATTTTTAATGTATATAATCCAGTGTAAAGTTCATTCTTTAATCATTTTTTCAATGTTTAAAATGTTTGATTTTTTTTGTAAAGTTGAAAAATTCAAAACTGCTATCCCACATTTTCTTGTCACTACTGAAACACAGAGTTTAAACCCACGCACAATTTCTGTAGTTAAGTCAACTTGTGTTTTAATAATAAAATTACAATTTTATGTGTGTACAGCTGTTCAAAGCTGTGTTTGCTAGTCAAGTACTGACTGTGTTTTTAAATACTGCTCAAAACAAGCAGAAATTGTCACTACCGAAACGCTTGGCACGGTTTCAGTAGTGTTGTGATTTGTTTTGATAGTGACTGTGTAGAATGTCCAATCATTTATTTTAATAAAATAAACATAATTTAGGTATAGTGTCACTCAAACCAAAGGGATTTTAGTCTAAAGTCCAAGTAAGTTCAAAATGGGTCAATTTGGTAGAATTACATACAAATATAAACATACGTCTATATTTACATAGACATGTATTCACTTTACATGTGTTCATGTCTGGCTCTGTAAGACTGTATGGTCTGCTGTCAATGCCATGAGTGCTGCATTGCCTTTAAATATGTTTCCATGTAAATATAATAGTAAAATATAACAGATGTCTGCGTAACCTGATTTGTCATCGTGTTATGAATTGGACGGTTTCCACATCGTGAGTGTTGCAATCAAGAGTTCTGTTCCACTGAGTTTGTGAGACGGGAGTAAGTAGGACAGTAAACATTCAGAGTGTTTTATTATGGATGTCTTTCCTTGTAGTGTTGCGTCAGTGTTCAGCATGAGGTTTTAAGAAGCTAAGCTGAAGTCTTTACAAATTACGCAGCAGTCTTATACCTGTATGTCAGAAAGGGCATGGTCATAACAGATGGTGACAATCAACTGAAACACAAAGTAGCTTTTGTTTCTGTTCCGGCAGCTCTTGTTTCTCCTGAAGTTAGTCTGTCAGTGTTGGTAAATTTGTCAGTAGTAATAAAGGTGAGTTGTCCAGGTGTGTCAGGCGCTAATGACTTGAGGACTAGGTGTGCTAGACAGTAATTCTGGTGACTGGAATGTTGATAAACTGCTTCATTACAGCGCATTTCCAGTGACTTTCTGATAGGACCTCACTGAGCCAAAGCCTCTACAATAATAAGAATGATGGTGGTAGATTTTAAAGGCTTTACTGAAGAGTTAAAGACTAAACGCATGGGAAAAGGAAAAAGATAGTGGCATTGAGTCTAACACAAAGAGGAAAATATGAAGAATAAGACTTAACTGAAAAGTAGAAAGCAATATAATATGTTTATACTCGAATCCAGCATTCAGTATCCGTTGAAAATAGTCTATGGATTGGTGTTTTTAGTGGTTCCTGATCTTGGAGTTGTTTTCCTGCTCTAACACACCTGTGTCATCTCAGAAGGGGCTTGTTAATGAGTTGATTAGTAGAATCAGGTGTGTTGGAGTGGGGAAAACACCAGAGTACTTACAGTATCAGGGTTGGGAGCTGTTCCGTTTCGGCAGGTGATGCAGTCAGGGTCAGTAGTGTAGTGAGTTTACAGGGCTAAAGTTTACCTAGATCAGGGTGGCCCAAAGTGTGGCCCATTGGCCAAGGTTGGTCTGTAAGAATGTTGGATTTGGTCCATGAGAAAGTTATCCTAACCCCATGCCTTCACCCAGTGAGAAAACAAACATTTTTATGGTATATAGAACTTAATTCTTATCTTTCTTTTAAAATAAGTTTTTAGATACAAAATATAATGTGTGTCCTAAAATACAGTTCTTGTTAGAGTTTGATAGTTTTTGCTGTAGGTTTAATACATGGTCTATAAATCACTTCTTTTTAAAATAATAGAACATGAAGTCACCCTATAGGCTACTAATGTTGTAGTCTTCACTCTCCACTCCAAACAGTTTATAAATGGAAATTAAGCTGAAAAACAGCCTGTATTTTAATTGACTATTTCTGTGATTATAAAAAGCAACAGCTGCATATGTTAACCTATTTTGGCCTATAGCCATTTAGCCCCTCCCACTTATGCTACACTCATTGTGCAAATAAGCTCAGGGCTCATTTGCATAGAACAGTCTTAAAGACACAGTTACAAAGTGTTTAATTCTGAGGGAATAAATAGCCATGTTAAAATGATTAATGATTGAGTGATTTGGTACATAAAGCCACACGCAGTTTATAAGTGGAAAAATTACAAGATAAATGTTGGATATGGGACCTATTACGTCGCAGATGGTATGCAGTAGATGAAATGGTTCATCTATTAACGATTCTATAATTAATCGGCTCAAGCTTTAGTGTGACCACACATTCACTGTTAGACCCCAAACATTATGTTGAATTTCTTTCTTCAGCATGAATGAGGCTAACGGGCTGCTTTTATTATGAACAGTCCAGTGTGTGCATTTTGCAAACTGCAAAAGATTCAGTGCACACCAGCCACCCCTCTGATTTGTCGTGAAATGAGGTTTGATGGCCCGTCGGTGGTTTCATATATACAGAGTATGTGTGTGGACTGTTCCATCATAAGTTCCACACTGACGTCTGGGTTCAATCTCACTGAGGAGCTGAATGGAGCGAGTTTGAGTGCCTGTGTGTTCTGTGGGTAGGAGAGGAAGGCAGCAGCCTCTTCGCGTCTCCACCATTATTTGATTTGATTGAAGAAAATGACCAAGTTTTATTTGAAACAGGCTTGTTTTCCCTAAATAGAGTTTCCACTAATACAACTGAAGTGGTATGGCTGGTACAAACCTTACTGCCAGCTGGAAAAGTGAAGTATGTATCAAAATGTATTAAAGGCATAGATCAACCTTACATGCTCATGTTGCTAACATTGAAAGGAAGCTAATAGACACTAATTAGCATGATGTCATTTTCATGATGCAGATTGGTGGTTCCTTACACTCTCTCACGATTAGCACTATTAGCATTATTCCTTTACAGTCACAGTATCAAATTATTGCTGCTTGCTGTTAAGCAAAAGGTTCATATTTTATTTTTGAATACTTTATGCTGGTATTTCTGTCTCTACTCACTATAAAGCTTTCCTTTTTTTTGAGCCACAAAAATTGTAGCCACAGACCATTTCTTTAGCAACGGCCAGGAAAATATGCAGTCGGCCAATTTGGCTGTGAAGAAATCTGAATATAATATTTCAGGATTAGTGCATTTCTGTTATATCAGATTATATTGCAGTGTGATTTACTGTATCTTTGTATACGCTTCCACTTGCAGCTTTGCTGCATCTGATTCATTTCACTGTAGAGCTTTGCCGCATCACATGGTGCATTATTGGTTGATGTGTGGTTAAATTTCAACTTTATGCTACATTGCGTTTAGCCAATCAGGCAAATATAGACCAGTCTTTGTTGGAGGTAGGGGTGACAACTTTTGTGACTGTGGTTGAGTTAAGTTGTAATTGTTTTCTGTAGGTTAAGGTCCAGGCCTGTTTTCTTTGTCCAGATTATCCACTTTTCCTGGCTTGACATTTGCCCAACTGCCAATTAGTTTCGCCTGTAATTGCCTTGTTATGTACACAGAACATAGGTGTTTAGTTGCCTCTGATTGGCCTAACTCAATTTGTCTATGGGCAGTTCACAAGCTCCCTGTTTTTAGGTAAAATTTCCCCTACTTAAAAACTTGCAAGGCAACATTGTTGATAATGTATACTATAAGAAAATCAGAGCTCTTGCAATTTCAGAATTGCACTCTTAAATTGTGGTTTCAATGTAAAACCAATTTCAGCCCCTGGTTGAAGGCAGTTGGATTTGTAGTTGGGGAGGTTTTGGGCTGCACAGTTGCTCAAATGGATGTTTATGTTGTGCCACAGTCCTTCAGTGTTTACAGAGAGATGTCCTTATGTCCTTTTGCATAACATTTGACATTTGAACACGTCCAGCAAATCTGTGCCTTCAGATTTACTCGGATGATACAGCTGGCAGTGTGACCCACTTAGCAGCTGAACATCTGTCTGTACCTCTCTCTCTCTCTCTCTCTCCTCTCTCTCCTCTCTCTCTCTCTCTCTCTCTCTCTCTCTCTCTCAGCCTACTGTCTCTGTCGCCCACATGGCCAGATCCTGCTTATAGTCAGTTGCCTTCAATGACACGAAATGCAAGCATGTCACTGCTAATGCTCCACCCACTATTAAATCATTCACGCTTGTTGAGGAAGCACTGCTGTTCAATCTGTTAAGAAATCTCGGAAATGGTCTGATATCCAAAATGAACAAAATAAAACAAAAGCGTATTGTGTTCCACTCGAGATCATGGTGGTTTGTGGTTTGTGTTTAGTTTCAGCTGTGCAACAAACATCTCTGTGATAACCAGACCACATAATGCTTGTTGAATGAACAAACAACTGATAAACATCACATTTATCTGTTTTTGTTTGGCACTTTGTCTGTGATGCAGCTTTTTCACTAAGCGGGAGAAAGTCAGCCATGCACTTCTAAGATCCTGATCTTATTTACGGACAAGCTCACTGACATCATTTTACGAAAAACGGATCCAGAATTTGTTGATTTCACCTTTGTGCTTTACAGAAGGTTTAGTTCAGACTGTTTGGAGGCTTTCTCCATGTAAAGGGCCTATTTATACCTTTCCCTAAAGTGTGTTTTTGTGATCAGATCCCAAAAGCTTGAAAAGCCAGATGTAAAGACCCCCAGGGCGCATTGTAATCAGATTATGATCAAATCACTCAAAACCATATTTGCTGGTGTTCAGAGATGAATCCATCTATTTAGCCTACAGCAGTTTAGCTCTGCCAGTTCATGCTAAAGTTATAAAGAGTGCTTCATTCCTGCTTTTATGAATGAGGCCCAGTGTAGAGCAGGCAATCGGAACCAAGATCATTTATATATCAGCCTTAAAGGCCGAATAAGGCCCGAATCCAATTTCTTATTTTTACCCTTACCCCTTTTTTTGAGTGTCACATTGCTCTTGAAACTTGAATTATAAGGGTTAGTGGTTGAAATCTTTCCTCTACGAAACTGGACCCTCAAATAAAGAAGACCATTACTTCATTAACAGGCTACTAGCGGTGCTCTGTAAGTGACCCTGCCAGTCTGCAGTGATAGCAGAGGAGGGTGAAGTTCAGCAACCTCACTGCTGGGCTTTAGGGCATCATGTGCCTTTAAAGGGGGAGGGTGGGGTCTGACAATTATTTATTATTGCCCATCCATCATTTTTCGGTAATATGAAGCTGAAGTCAGCTATTCGCCAGCTTCTTGTTCCAATTTTACCCATTCCATTTAGCTAGTTAGCTACCAAGACATCAGCATACTACTAGCGACTTTATATGCTTGTTATGATGAAAAGGACCATAATACATTAAAACAACAGTAAACTAAGATAATACAATGGTTATCGGAATTTTTTTATGGAGAAAATACTCACATTTGTGGTTTTCTTTGGTTGCTCGCGCAGCCATCTTGCCGGTTTTCATTTTTTCATTGGAGTGTGCCTCTGAAAAACCTCCGTGGGGACGGCCATGTAGCCCTAACACTGCCTTACCCCTCTATGTTAACAAAAATCGGGACACCCAACCCTTAGACGCGAATGGCCAAAATGGAGGGGTAAGGACTAAGTGGTAGGGGCGAGGGAAGAAATGGGATCGGGCCTAACGGTCTGTTTTAATTCTAAAAGATATAGATTAATTTAAGTTATGTAAAAATGAGTTACTTGTTCTTTTGTTTTCAGTAGATAAACTCGTAGAAATGTTGTAAGTGGACCTCAGGGGGAAAACAATAATGAAGACGTAGTATTTGGCCCCTTTAAAGTTGAAGTTCAACAGTTTTTTGAATGGGACCTTCATCTGTTCTTTTTTCTAGTTTCAGCTCAGAGGATAGTCAGAGCAGAGCTGCAGTAGATGCGGGTCAGATACGCCCACAACACTTGGCTCATTTTCACTTCCCAGCAGACTAGAGGAACAGAAGAGTAATCCCATTTCAATGGTGTGTGTGTGTGTGTGTGTGTGTGTGTGTGTCAGCACAGACAGTAAATCTTTAACACATGAGAAGTGGACAAAATGGCCCAGTAGGAATTGGAGCAGAAGTAAGTGACTGTGTGATGTAAGCCAATGGCGGTAAGGCCTTATAACTTTGTCCACCCCCACCCCCTTCTTCTTCATTCCAGCTGCACTTCTTAAAGCCTGCTCTCTCCAGCCTGCGCCTCATGGGGCTCGTGTGGCTCATATCTCACGGTGTGTAGGCTCAGTCAGCAGACACAGGGCAGACGAGGCCACGCTGATACCATTTTTCTGGCTGCGGAAAATGAGCTTGACACAGCCCATGACCTAGGCATACCAACAGTATATGCAAAAGCGCACACCCAGAATAGGCCTTAATTCCTGGTTCTTATTGCTAGATCTTAGAAAGATTGTGGGGGCGTGTGAAAATATGGGTATTGCCGAACGATGATGTCAGAATTCTGTCAGTGTAATATCAAATGTCAACTATCAGCATCTGACAAACATTTTAGATTTGACATATTTCAAAAACAAAATTTGATGATACGACTGTTGTACTCTAGAAGAGCAGAACATTTAGGTAGCTGTGGGTTATTGTGCTAATATATTTGCAATTTATTCATTTTACAGCATTTGTAACTCTGTAATGCTAATCTGGGTAGATGTACTCCCGGTATGTATATTTTGTTAATGTATATGTATTGGCTTTGGCAGATGTGCAAATATCAGAGATCAGGCCCCTAGTTCTCATATAGATGCATCCCTAGTGGGAAGTGTGCAGGTATAAAAGTAAACACCAGTGTGTGGGAACGCACAATAATGTTGGAGTTATATTGGCAGTGGTAGACACTTGACTTAAAAAAAAAAAATACACTAGACTTAGATTTATTATGCTGTAGAAGCCTAGAATGTTTAGGAAACACTGGGATTTGAAATGAAAACATCTGCATTTTATTCATTTTACTGTGTTTAATCCTTTACAAATAAATGTTTCCCTGTGATGCTAATCCGGGTGGTTTGTGTATCAGCATTGACAGATATGTACTTAACAAAAATCAGATATCGCCATTGGTCCCCGATTTCCATATCGGTGCATCCCTAATTGGAAGTGTGCTGGTATAAAAGTGAATACTGTTACGTAGGGATTCACAATAATATCAGTCATATCTGTATCAGCAGATAATTGCTTAAAAAGATCATCATTGTACAGTTGTTTATTTAGCTGATACCTCAAACCGTTATTTGTCGACACATATATTTACACTGGAAGAGCAGAATGTTTAGGTGACACTTGGTTACTGTGCTGAAATATCTGCATTTTATTGATTTTAATGCATGTGTAACCCTGTAGTAAGAAATGCTGCATTACAGAGAAGTGTGTGTGTGTGTGTGTGTGTGTGTGTGTGTGTGTCTGAATGTTTTTGAATTGGCATCAGAATGGGCATCCCTACCATGGTGATGTTATTCCGTGATGTAAATTTTAGGATATAGCAGACTGCAGACGAATGAAGATGCGCTGACGTTACTAACGTGCACACAGAATGTAATTTAGACAGCCAGTCTGCTGCCTACATTTTTGAAAGCAGTCATTCTTAACAGCTTACTGATGCTGATAAGACACCTCGTGGGTATTGAAATTTAGTAAGGATTTTTAAATGCTCAGTAGTAATGTAAAAGTATTTCATTTCAATGGCCAGCCCCATCAGTTTGGTATTCTGCAATATGGATTTTACATATTGTGGATACCAGAAGCTCAGATGTTCTTTTTTTACCACCTTAAACCCTGAAATCCTGCATCTACAAGAATATAAAGAAGCTACTAAAGTTTGAAAGTTTGTGAGATAATGGAAATAAAGCTTTTAGATGCAAACTCTGACAGTGTTTGGTTTATGTTAAGAAGGAACCTGTATTGTTTATAAACTTTTTCATCCTCATCCTCTTCTTCTCTTCATAGCCTTCAACGTAACAGTAGTGTTTTTTTTTCTTTCCTCTATTATAGAATTATTTCCCTGATATCGTTAAATCTTTTTAAATATTATTATGTTTATTTTAAATCATATCTCCCCCCCCCCCGCACGGTGCCGTACAGTTACATTTATTACACTTGTTTATAATAGATTTTTTTGTAGAATGCGAGATTTAAAAAAAACTCAATTTTGGTTCATGCTGTTAATTTAATTTAGGTCAGACAAGCACTAAAAGAAGGCACGCTTAAAAAGGTATGATTAATATGAAGTCTGCGAAATGGAAAAACTAATGACATTTTAATTAGTCTGCCTAAAAATTATGATTATACTGTAAACCTTTTAGCCATCCTCACCCAAGACAAAATGCTGTGCATAATTTCACCCAGATTATTTCACTGTTCTTAAAAGAAGTAGTCATTGGAGTGTGTTTATTCTAATGAGTTTTCTCTGCAGTTGGACTCCTCTATGTTGATAGATAATTACATAGTTCAGTTTAAATGGACAGTCCAGCTTTGTGTGTAGTATGGAACATGGGTTTTATGGTAATATGGGTTTTGCTTATTGTCTGCTTATCCCAGATTAAAGGGGAATTTCTGTGTGACTCAATTGTTGAGGTGTAAAAAAAATAAATAAAAAAAGTTATTCAGAGTGGCATTTGGTGTGAAATGCATTTTAGAAAAACTTGCTGGCTCGGATTTCTTTACAGTGGCGGTGATGATGGGAACTAGGGGTTTTGATGTCTACAACTCAAAGATAGCCATAATATTTGCTTTTCAAAATGATCATTGAACCTACATGTTTTTGTTTTTATATGTAATGATAATGGTGAAATAGTAATACATTTGTAAAAATAAGTTTTTTTGGGGGACTATTTTGTCTTACTACACCCTGCATGAATTTAATGAATTTATTAAAAAAAAATGTGTGCCTTTAGAGTCATTAAACCACTAAGATGACTGGTTCCCATTACCACCACTGTGAACAATACTAAGCATTTCACAACTACTCTAAATGACTTTGCGGACATCTTAATGATTTAATCATAGATTCCTCTTTAAGAGAACCTGCTTATCTTCAAGGCTAATCAGATGCTGGTGGAGTTCTGCAATGTGATACAGGAGGATCCTGTTAAGTTTGTTGTTGCTTTGTTTTTTTCAGATAAGCACCTGTATTGCTGTTCGTTGGATGTCTTTACTGCTGCGAAGTGGGATCCTGAGAGCTGGGTTATAAATGACAAGGTAACAGTGCTGTTCAGTGTCCTTCGACGCTTGGTGTACAGAGTTTGTAAACGACTGTAACGTGCTGAAGTTGCTGGATCGTCAGTTTAATTGTAGAAAGACGTGATCCTGTTTTATGATTATGACTTGATGACTGTATTTAGTGTTAGCTGAGACTCTGTGGGAGGCCTGAATGCTGCTGCCTTTTCCCGAATGGAGCTATATTTGATTGACTCTGCAGAGTTGTAAATCCAGCACCAAGGCTAAGAGGTTACATAAGCCATAAGGGGGTGATCTGGCTTAATTCGTCTCTGTTCAACAATTAGACTTTTACTGCACAGTTGTTTTATCATCTTGAGAACGCAAACGCTGGTCGTCTTTTCCATAGAGTGCTGCAAAGTCAGCTCGGTGCCAAAAACAATACACTCGGTTCTTGACTAGTGCTCTTGCAGAAAGCACAATAACTTGACTCTCCAGGCTCAAGTGGTCATGACCATAAGTACATGGTCTATAAACCTCCTTCCCTGAACAGGAAGACTGTACATACCATGGATTTCTGTCTTTCTTCAGTGTATGGCTTGTTGTGATGGGTTTTTTAAATGCCTTTTGTGAGAAATGACAGATAGTCAATGGTTGGTTCTCCAAAGGGGAACCTGTGGCTCTGTTAATCCTCTGTAGATAATCACCAGCTTGAATGTGTATTGATCTGTGAGTGCCATGATAAATCAGCTTTGTTGGCTTAATGGGAATCCTATGGGGAGCAGGAAGTGACAGCTCAGTAATCTACATCTAATGGTGAGTTAAAGGGCCCATGTCTTACATTTTCCTGTGTTTTATTAAAGGTTCTCTAATAACATTAGTGTGGGTTTATGTAACAAAACCTGTCATTGATTCTTACATGAAAGTTAGAATTAAATAGACGCTGCTTTTGTCTTACACAGAGTCATACACAAACGTTTGAACACCCCTGGTCAGATTATATGCTTTGTTGATTTTGTAAGTGAAATTAAGTTAACACATCCTCTACAGAGAGCTAAAATGTGGCATTTTTCATCAAATTTTACTGCACAATTCTATTTGCCAAGTTTAACATGTTGGGGAAAAATAAAACATAACAAACATATCATTAGACCAGCACTCAAATTTTTGCATTCAGCTGTATGTGTAAGTGTAGTGATGCATTGAAAGGAAAATTCATTGCCAAAACTAGAAACAAAAAATTAGGACACACTGAACCAAAAACTGAAAAACCTAACAATAAATGAAAACAGTGCACATAAAAAACTTACAGAAATGATTACAGTATGCACCACAAAATCAAATGCCCTTAATGGTTGATCATCCAGGACAATTAACTCCTTCTTTTTTTTTTTAGTTTTACTTTGCACTTTTGCACCTTTGCACTGTCATTTGTGATGTATATAAGTGTTTTGGGTCATTTTATTAACTGAGACTACAGATGGCGTTAGCTTGCTAGCAGGAACGTTCTACTTCCGTTATTTTCCAGTATTGTGTTTTAAGATGATAAATCGAATCTGTAATGGAGAAGTTCTGGGGTGTTGTACCTCCTCTTGATGAACAATGATTAATCGCTTGTCTAATGTCCTTCTTGACATAATTCCACATTTTCAGTGTTGATCTGCTGCTCAAACTGTTTGAACGCATCTGTTAAGTCTGGCGCTGGAAAGTGAAAGGCTGAAGGAATTACGTTCTGTTGCCAAACAGGCCCTGGTATATACCTCCTGCACTATTTAAGGTTGAAGGGGAAAACTTGAGTAACGAATGAATACAAAGCCAGCTTGAGCAGTTTGAGCTGAAATACTCTGTATAACCATGTGAACAGAGGGCTAAACAGGTGTAAGCTGAATAGGTGGATATATGTGAATATGTTGTTTTTATGATGTCACAAAGAATCTAAACAGCTGCAGTTTTTGCAGCTCTGTTTCCATTTAAACAGTGCATACAAACTACTTTTAATTCTGCTGTTTAACCCAAAAAAGTCCAGGAAAGTTTTTTTCTATCATGTTGGCCCTTTAGGAACATTAAGCACCTTACCTTTAGCCGTACTGTCATTGGTTGCGTTCACAGGAGTAGGAAAATGTTGTTGTTTTGTTCTGTGCAGTTTTCTCACCAAGAGTGCTTAAATCTGAGATCAAGGTTTGGGTTTCTGGCACGAGGGCGTCTCTTCTTTACAATGGCTCACGTCCAGCTTGGCTCTGCTAAACCTTGATTAACCCATTGAAGAATTCCAGACGCTAGGCCGGCTCGCCCGTACTCCCCCGACTTTCCTTCCTGCGAGTTTTGTCCATCTAGACCACATTTTTAGTGTGTAGCAGTAGGAGGCAAGGTAGACGCTGGTGGGGGGGTGGGGAGCAAGGTACTGGATATAGAAGCAGTCGTGTCCCCCGAGTGCCATCAGTGTGAGTCATAACTCAGCAGCCTGATGGAGGCTGTGAGACATAACTGAGTACAGATGTGGCAAAGCATAAAGAAGGCCTCCATCAGGGCAGTCATGCCTGGACCCGGCAGTTCAAGAACCACTTTAACCTCTGGCCTCGTCGGCGGCCGTTACCATGTTCTGCTTTTGCTTCCGACATCAGAAATACGAGAAGGGTCACTCCTGCTGTCAGCGTTTTGCGTCAGCGTCCCTCAGTTCTCTGAGCCTTTAAGGTGGAAGGGAGAGGCCAATGTGTTAAATAATCTAAATGAGAAGCTGTACAAAGAATTTCTTTTGATGATGGCTCTGAGCCAATACCAGGTATTGGGCTAATATAAGCCAAAGATGCAGATGGGATATTGGAGGGTAAAAAAAAGATTCCGTCCAGTCCTGTAACAAAACTAGTCAGTAATAGCACTCATATTAACTGAAGTTTTAGTATAATAATACTTTATTATAATAAAAGTAGTTTACATTCACATCAGTTGCTTGATATTAGTTTAAGACTACTGATCTAAGTTATCATCATGTGTACAGTGTGATCCGACCCACAGTACTGTGTGTTTATTTAATTTCCAGTCAAAATGGCCATTAATCTCCAGTTCTTCATTTTTCAGGCGATGTTTCTGAGGACGTTAGATATAAGTCAATCCACTTACATAATCAAGAGGAAGGTTGAGGGAAGATAAGGGAAAGAACTGGAGAAAAAATAATCAAAAGATGTGGAGAAAATGGAACTCATCACAGCCAAGTATGACCTGGTAGACCACCAAAACTGTCCCCATCAGATAAGCAGTACCTTAAGCTTTCATCACGCTCCACACTTAGTCCACAAGTGTTTCTGTCCATCCTTCCACTATGAGAAGACAACTCAACACTATGGGTCTGAAAGGATGCAAAGCTGTCAATAAGCTCTTACTGAGTAAAAGAAATAGACAAAAAAAAGAAGAAACTCTGCAAATCAAACACCGAAGCTGCTGGTGTTCTTGGAATAATGGACCAGCCCGTCACCTCAACATCACTAAATATATTTGGGATTTCTTGATTTGTGAGAAGTAGAAAATGCAAACAGCGTCTAAGACTAAACTTTAGAGGTGTGAAAAAACATCCGTGCAGATTTCTATGAAAACTGAAAAGATTGGAAGCTGTAATAAAGAGTAGACACACTAAATACAGAAAAAGCTGATGGTGTATTTAGTTGTTGAGGCTTCTGTGTGATTTTCCATTGAACGTTTTCTGACGTTTTGTGGCATTTTCTGTAGTGCCACACACATGATGAGAGCATTTTGACACCAAAAACAAATGTGATAAAAGCTGAAAGGACTGCTATATATTTCTTTCTAGGGTGTTTGAGTAGTTTGAGCATGATGGTCTAAATGTGATGCACTTAAGTGCAAATGTGGAACAAGAAGGAGGTGTGAGGGAACTTTTGTTCAAGAAGATTACAGTCTAGGATATGCAGTGGAAATATTATTTACGATACTAACATTGGGCCCTACTTGCCTATGTTCGTTACTGTCAGTCATTGCTATACAAATGAGATTTTGCCAGCCACTCCCGTCATTGTCATTTATTAGCTGTATCAGAGCTTTTGTAAAGCATAGCATTGAGTGGTTGGGAGTGTTTCCTTTGTGTGCTAACTTAGTGTTAGCATGTGTTTGTTGCTTATTGCATGTGATCTGTGTGATTTGCTGCCCTGGAAGCAGAGTTATCAGATGGTGACACTGATCTAAATTGCTATTGATTTGAAGTTTAGACTGTGGCTTTAAAAGGGAGGTTAGTCGGTTAGTGAATAAACAGAAACTGACGTTGTTTGTCCACACTAGCGTTTTTATGGTGTCTTACGTGGGTCAAGACTTTGCAGCATTTCCTTTTTCAAAAAAAGTGGGTTAATATGATTTTATAGCACTGTCTAACAAGGCACCATTTCTATACTGTTGTATACGGTTAATGCAGGAGGACCATGTGTTCCAAGAAAACCTTCTGGAGTTTTGGGTTCTAGAAGCTGAATTCTTAGTCAAGTGACATTCTACAGGCACTAGCATGGTAGGAATCCTCAAAGGTAGGAGTGGGCAGTATGACGATGTGATATCTTTATCATCATAATTTACATCATGATGAGCTTTTCTGAGTTTTGGTTATAGTTCATACTTTACACAGATTTTCTAAATTTCAGCTGAATTCAGTCATTGGAATGTAAACAGAGTGATTAGATAAAAAATGGTAATTTACTGACTGATTTCTTTACATTGGTGGTGATCAGTGGACCTTTACTGTGTTCTGAGTTTTTGCATGTAATCTTGATAACAGCAGAACAGTGGTTAACCAGGAAAAAATAGGTTTTCTACAGATACTGTGTTGTCCTACTGCATGTACCTTTCCTTTGTATTGTGCCAAAAACTTTAGCTCAGAATCATAAAACAGTGTCTCAGACATTTGACAACATATTTGTAAAAAGTTAATATAATAACTTTCTGAGGCATTAAACTCTTCAGATGTCTGGTTCTCATCACCACCACTGTGAACATTTCTAATTAAGTTTCGTTAGAATAGTGCATTTTACATCAAACCACTCTGAGTTCGTTTAAATCTTTAAAGAACACTAACAGAATTTCATTACTAAGAGACTTTAAAGAGACTCCCAAGTGATGTAATGTCACCTTATTGTCAGGACATCATGATTTTGAATTTTGACAGGAGCTGAAAATGTTTAAAAGAACATCATTGGTCCTGTTTAATTCAGTGCAGTGACAGTAGTGACGTGAATAAGAAAAGAAAGATGTCATTGTCCTCACTTCGCTTTGCTGGTGCTAGTGCCTGTTCCAAAAGGAAAATATTGTAAAAATATCTTCATGTATTGTGATATGTTTTATTGTATTGCTCAGCAATACTCAAAGGGATAAAGAAGCAAATTGATCAGCCCTGTTCAGTGAAGGCTTATCTAACACGGTTGTTGGCAGTTTTGTGACTTTGCAGAGCTGCCAGGCCTGAACCATGTTACGTAAACACTCGCCCTTCTTGTTTGCTGGGACTTTGGATCTGCATTGCCTTGGAGCTGTTAAGCGTTTTGGCACCAGTTCAGTTCGCCGCACTGGCACTTAGCAACATGGCATTACGTGGAATGTGGCAGCACTTAAAAGTTCTTTCCAAGAGCGAGGAGCAATTCACAGACCTCTTTGTGACGTGGGAGTTCACGAATGGCCTGAAGTTCAGCGGCCATCCTCTCCGATGGGACGGTTGCTCGTTGCAATTGTGTTGCAATACATTGTTTGCTGTATTCCTTGACCTGCTCCTGGCAGCCATGCTTTTCTTTTTGTCCAGCATTTGCTGTGGCTCCTCTTCCAGACTCTGACTGCGAGTCTTTATGATTTTAATCCAGGCAGATGGTAGACTTTTAAATGGGGCATGTGCAGTCAGCGGGTTCAGCGGAGTGAGGGACTCCCTCCTTGTTCCAGACTAGCCTTCATTTTGGCAAAGACAGCATCTCCAGGGCTCTACTAAGGGCAGAGGAGATCTGGTTATAGGTTAGAACTTTACTGTTTCCAATACCAGTACTGATACCTTGACTTTGATATCGATTTCTGAACAGTACTTGTTTGATACCTTCCTTTTAAATAGAAACAAAAATTAGGTTAAGCATCAAAAAGTCAATAGCCTGAAGTTGAGGTGTTGAGCACTGCTGTTTTATATGTACACTTCTCAATAGCAAACTCATTTGTATGCAAACTAAAAGTGGGTGTGGCTTAAACCAGAATAGTGTGTGAGAGTTGGCAGTGGGTGTGTTTACTGACCACAGTGCATTGCTCTGATGAAGCACTGATGTTAACTTGCTTATGGCATATCATTTAGACAGCCAGTCTCAAGTCTACATTTTGGAGCAAGCATGCTTATAGGCTCTCAGATGATGAGCCAAATTGCTGTTGTGTAGGAGTTTTTCCGATACTCATTAGTATTGGAGAGACTTGGTTGGTACCACAAAAGCATTGAATTTCAATACCTACCCCTAGATGAGAGAAACTTGCCATATCTATTATCTATCTGACAGCAGTGACTGGCATTTGAACAATTTTTGCTATTCAAATGTTCTGATTTCTGAATATCTGATTTAACGAGGTGGGTAGTCCTGTAAATAATCAGTTACATAAAAGTGTAAAAACCATGTAAATGGCTGTATCTGATTACAATCCCAGTTGGAAAGTTTAAGTACGTTCTGCGTATGTGTGTTCGCGTCTAGGGAAAGTTTATAACGTCCAACGCGGCGGGAGCAGAAACTGGTCTGTTGAACTTTAAAAGACGCCGGTGGGACTGGCATCCAGCTTATGTGTCTCAGAACACGACGTCTTCCTCTCGGCCTTTTTTAATAAGTACATGTGAAGTACGTTTTCCTTTTTGCCATAATTTAAAAGTAATTAAAAACACAAGCACCAACTAAAACCCAGGTAACACACTGCTGCTCGTCCCACTCTTGACTGGACTCAGTTGATGCTCGCTGTCATGGTAACATCTACACTAAGTGGTTCTCTATGCATGCACATAATTTTGGATTGGATTACTTGTAGTGTGCGCGTAAATTAAGATTTTCATCAGGTTGTTGAGCATATAAACACCTTAGTCTTCATCTATAATCGGAATATATTCAATCAGGTTGGCAGAAGTCTGCATGTAAAGACAGCCAATGATAAGCTGTAGTTCCAGGCTACATGTGCCTTATTCAAAGACCAAAGCCCTGTCAATTGAAATTCTCATTAAGTATAGAAATAGTAGGATCAGTTTGGTTATCCCTAGTTGGAATGCCCATCTCTAGTTGGCAGTTATCTGATACTTTGATTGTACCTGCATTGCTCTTCTGTTT